TTCATAGAGACTTTGAGGTATTATGGTGACTGTAGTAAGAATGTGTTGTTTTGGTGTAAGGAATACCGTGGAATGTTTGGGTCAGTAATCGTGGCTAGCTAAGTTTAAGATAAGACAGATTCAAGATCAGCTTTCCTCTTTCCCCACTTTTGGCCTTGTGGCACATTCTTTTTATTCTTCAAAATAAATATTATTTTCCCCTATGGTACCTAGACGTTAAGAATTTAAGCACAGTAGTAGATTGGCCACAAAGTCTCATCATTTTGCAGTTGAATTGGCTAGATGTAACCGTAAGTTCTATGCTAACAGTTTCTTCTATCACACTTCTTGCATGTGGAACTCTCTTCTGTCTTCTTGCTTCCCGAGCGTGATCTTGAAAAATTTAATTGCAGTGTCAACTGTTATCTTCTGTCTTCTCAATTATTGTTCTTTTATTTTCTTCTCTGCTTTTATTTTCCTCTCTGAGTGTTACAGGACATGATAAAAATATACTATTGTATATTTTTATCATATCCTGTAACACTCATTAACCTCTTGTGTCTTAGTGGCTTTATTACCTTGCTTGGGGTGAAATGGTAAAAAACGAAAAAGAAAATGTTATCTGGATCAACAGATACCTGAAGAAGGTCCGAGGTAATAATGGTCAAAATGTTGTGATAATAATAACAAAGATGGAAATATTCGTCTGAATCTAACGATAATTCCTCGTTTCAGAAATTCAAACAGATAATATTGATATTTAATTGATAGTATTTTCTTTTCTTTTCTTTCAGCTAATGCAGCGAAAAGAAATTTACTTGTTTGTTTTTTTCCTGGATAACAAATAGAACTCTGTTTAAATACGGTCGATATCATCCCGGAACCAACGCGATTTTAGACGTAAATATATACCCCAGATCGCATGTTCCTCAAATAGACAATAACTAAAATTCATATATTTTCTGAAGCTATGGCGTTTTTTAAAAAGAAGAAAGATTCGAGCGGTCGCCAGTTTTACGTCGAGTTTCTTGGATGGTTACCATGTCGAGGAATACGAGGAAATATTTATACAAATTCCGTTGCCCACGAATTAATACAAAGGAAAAAGAAATATCCTGACGTTCCGAAAATGACTCTCCAGGTGACTTTAAATGAGATTAAAATTTCCAATGACAATTCCGAAGAGCACCGAAAGGAAAAAATCACTTCTGTCAAATATCCTTGCATAATGATGAAGAACATCATGTATGCAACTTGCATGACTGCGCAGAACGCAGATATTGCCGCTTGCATATACTACAATTTTAACCCAGCTACAAAATCTATGTTACACACTCATGTCTACCGATTTGATTCTCCCACAACAGCCTCGACTTTCGTGGATCTGATCAACCAAGTGATAATGACGCCCCAACACCAAGATTATGTTACCCAGATAGAAGAACAATTGCGACATAGCGGGTTTTTGCAAGCGGTTGTCGACAGACCTCCCCCGCAACCAGCAATTCCTCAGAAAGCTCCTTGGAGCCCAACAAGTGAAACCTTTCCTGACCAAGTGGCAGATTATGAATCGGACACTTACAGCAGCCCAGAAGCTCTAAGTATGCAGGCCGTCACTTCAGAGCTGAAGAAAAAGCTACAGACGCGCGAAGCGCCCCTTTTACTCCCGCCAAAGGATTACGACACAGTACATAGAAAACAGGGAAGACTAGACGATATTTCGTCGCGAAAAAGTCTCAATGAAATATTAGTTGGTCGTACTGCCGTAGAAGCAGCAGCCACTATTTCAGGGAATACATCCCTCTTAAATGACGAAGAGAAAGAACAAGATGAAAACCCGAACGATAAACCTATATATTACCCTGCTAAGCAACCATCCGACCACGACATGATGTACCCAATGACGTCCGTTGGAAGCCCACCAGTAATGCGAAGAGAAAACCTATACAAAAGAAACAGGGAAAGCATCGATTCTTTCTTAAGTAATTCCTCAGGAGGTAGTCGGGCAAGCTACACCTCACCAGAGAAAAGCAGTCCTACACTTGCAACGAAGCGTGGTCATATGTCTGCTTATGAAAACTTCCCAACGTTAAAAGGTCCAGAAAGAAGCCCTGTTGCCACCAGCAGCCCGGATATGTTTAAGAGGAATAGTTTGCATCACATGCGAGAAAGTTCCATGTCTTCCAGTCACAGTGGCATATCATCTCACTCGGACCATTCTCAATATTTATCACAAATAATGAACGAAGAAAACCTGGAAATTCCTCCAGATTACGATCAAGACACGTACAAGGCTGATCCCATAGGTCAGGGACACAAAGACAGAAACTCGGGATACGGCCTTGCGAGAAGTATCGATAACCTAAATTACTATGATCCTCATAACAGCCAGGGTCATCAAGGTCCTAGCATGGGGAATATGTATCCTCAGTATACTCCAACTTATGAACATTATCCCCCTAACACTTCTGAATTCCAATCTAAACCTGTAAAACGAATTGCACCTGTACATCGCTGAGTGGATGAGAAAAAACTAATTCGATACATCATGATTAAAAAAAAAGTGGAATTTGTGATTTCCAAATTTAAAAACACGAACGGTATGTTTTATGTTTTATAGAATATATCTACGTATGTATTTCTAAACATCTTCCTCATATATATATATATATATATATATATATATATATATATATATATATATATATATATATATATGTGTGTGTGTGTGTGTGTGTAAATAAAAGAATGTGTATGAATGCATATATATGTAGATATATCTACCAATGTACATCTTTCAGACACGCATTTATGTATATAGAGTAATTTATATTAATGCATGCCAAGACACGTTACGCATGAATTAATATATATATATATAAATATAGAAATTCATAAACATTCCCATATATATATATATATATATATATATATATATATATATATATATATATATATATATATATATATACATATATATACACATTCCCAAAAATTTAGGGCGAAGAAAAGCGTTACATAGAATTATTTTTTACTTTGTCATTCAATTAGCTTACAGGATTCATTTTCTTCCATTCACACACACACACACACACACACACACACACACAGAGCTATATATTAAACATTTAAGAGTATATATGTACATCTTGGCATGAACAAACATATATATATATATATATATATATATATATATATATATATATATATATATATATATATATATATAAGTGTATATGAGCACCTCGAGGCGGTGTAATGGCTGGCAATTTTGATCGCTGGAAAAATTACGACTGAGTAGTGAGTACGATCCTCACTGGGTACCCCATACTTTCGGCCTTGTGCCACATCAAATCTACGCTTGGAAAATCACTACATAAGTGTGTATGAATGGCTATTTGTGTATATGCCCAATGTGTACGAATATATATATATATATATATATATATATATATATATATATATGAACAGTGTTGAATTATAGGTTTACATCTTAAGCGATCATTATATTATCTATGATCCCACTGGATACACACAGTCACAAATTGTTTCTCCCACGCTTATGTACAGCACACACAGACATACGTATATATATATATATATATATATATATATATATATATATATATATATATATATATGTGTGTGTGTGTGTGTGTGTGTGTGTGTGTGTGTGTGTGTGTGTGTAATATTATCTGGAAAGATGACTTAACTTTTAAATATCAATTTTATCCCTAAAAATTGATATGTAAAAGTTAATTAATCTTTATATTTATATACTGTGTTATAAATGTAGCGAAAGTGATCTACTGTTTACCAGGAGCTGAATATGAAGAAATATAGTCTTAAGTTGTTCTATATTTATGGGATAAAGTGCTCAAATCAGAGATAGAGCATGTGTAAATATAAAAGTGAACATTGAAGTCAACACTTAGAGGCCAGCCTGACGATTGCGTCTAGCATCAAACAGCCTGTCGCCTCTAAGTGTTGACTTCTATGTTCACTTTTATATTTACAGATGCTTTATCACTGATATTGAGCACTTTATCCCAAAAATATAGCACACCTTATGAGTATATATCTTCATATATATATATATATATATATATATATATATATAATATATATTTAATTGGATTGATGTGTAGTTTGTGACCCTGGGTTTCACGCTTTTGCGATCACATATATTGAATAATATAGATATATTGTGTCTACTTATTTTTATACAGATCCTTCCCAGTTGTCTAATCAGTTTCTTGGTGTTAAGAGGACATTCATTTCAGTAAATTACAAAGACAAACTTTTTTTTAACCTAAGTACTTTCGATCATTTCCGCGGTCATCTTCAAGGGTAAATTACAAAGACGGACTTATTATCATATAAAATGCGTATGACATTTAATGCCATTTTACATTTCTACTAATTTCTGGTCAGCTTCCTTATATTGAAACGCTTGAATTGGAAAAAAATTCCATAGCTACAACAGATAAATTTAAAATTTTGAAATAATTATAAGAGAGCGCATTCGCACAGGTTTTTAAAAATCACCATCATCGCTGTTACAGTAAGTTTGTCTTTGTAATTTACCTCGGAAGATTATCTTGAAAAAGGTCGAAAGTACGTGGGTTAAAAAAAACGACTACGGCACCTTGTCTTGATGAATGTCTTCTTAACATCAAGAAACTGATTAGACAACTGGGAAGGATCTGTATAAAAATAAGTAGACACAATATGTCTATATTATTCAATGTCACACATACACACAAACACACGCGCGCACACACACACACACACCTACACACACACATATATATAATTACTGGGGTATATATTTGTTTTGTACATTTCTAAGTTGTTTGACTCTTAAATGTCATGTTTTATTATTTGAAACAATGTATATTTCTTTTATAAGATAAATTTATCGTAATATATTCTCGTTGCTATTTATATCTATAAGACAAAACACTTATCGAGGAACTGTCCAGTAAGTGAAACTAAATAATGAAATAAAAATTTTGAAAATAAAGTTTACTGTGTTGTTTAACGAATTGTCGCATGAATGAACATTGTCTGATATCCGAGTAGGTAATTAATGATGAATTGACGCTTATTGGATTTTATATCGATGTTTAGGTGTAATCATTTCCGCGCTAAATATCAAATTATTAATAGGACATACACTCTCACATGAATATATTGAATACATTTGATTATAATGTATTTGATTTTATACTATATTGTATACATTATTTGAATATATATACATTAAACATTATATTGCATACATATGATTATATTGTATTTGATTATATACTATATTGTATTTGATTATATACTATATTGTATATATTATTTGATTATATTGTATACATTAAACATTTGATCATATTGTATACCTTAAACAAGGCATTGTATACATTTGATTATATTGTATACATTAAACAGGAAATAAAAATCAACAATACATGTAGACAGTCAGTTTTACGTCACACGCTATCTTCATAATACACTGTCTATATTTATAAAAGCTCTATCCCTTGTCTTGTGCACATATGTTTTAATAAATATATATAACAAATTTTAACCAATATATATATATATATATATATATATATATATATATATATATATATATATATATATATAGAGAGAGATAGAGAGAGAGAGAGAGAGAGTGTGTGTGTGTGTGTGTGCGTATTTATTGTTTATACATAAACAGTAGAATACCTGACAACCAGACTAAGAAGGCTTTCCGGATATAAGGAATTGGTTACAAAATCCGGATATGAGGGGTTATATTTAGATTAAAATAAAAGAACTGAAATCAGGTTTAACATTTATTTTCAATGTTTTATAGTAAACAAAATAAGCTAATGGTGAGTGAAATATAACGGAATTGATTTTAAGGAAAAAATAAATTACGTAATTTAATGAAAATTCCTTAAATTAAGTATACCACTTATGCAAAACAAATAATGTAACGAGGATTTTATATCGGTGTCGAATGATGATTCTTTTTCTTCTAACGTCATTCTCAATTTTTTCAGCATTTCGTTTTGCTTTTGTTCTTGAAATTTTTTTAAACGAAAGGCACTTTTTAACGTTATTGCAGTCGTCATAGCTGAATGCTGGCTTTCTTTCCATAAAACTGATAACCTTTTCAATAGCTTTTTCAATTTCAGCCCAGATTTCATCACAATCATTTTTTTGTATTTCCTTGTTCATTGTGACAGTGTGAACGCTGGAGAATAGTTTCTTTGGAAGACTTTATATCATAAAATGCTGACTTTCATTTGTTGAACTCAATCATTAATTACAATGAGCTTTCACCAGCGTCTAATCTGTTTAAAATTTCCACTTTTTGCGATGACTCCAAAGTTGTTATTTTTCTTTTATTCCCATCATCTTTTGCACCAATACAAGCAATTAGGGTGAAATAAGCATAAGGAATTATCCAAAGTAAATTTCCTGAAAAAGAGAAATTTAAAATCAGTTACATATCACCCAAATAGTTCAAATATATACATCAAAATCATGTCCGGATATGCTGAATTCCGGATATGAGGGATTCTAGTAATTTTTATTACGATCTCAAAATCAAACGTATAGAGATTTTATTGCAGTGAAATAAAATTATTTTTTCGTATAATGTCGGTTCATTGCGAACATTACATTTCTTAAACACGCCACGCACCCCACGCACGTGGAAGGAAGTAGTTCGATGCTCAGCAGACCACATCCGGATGAATAAAAGTAAGTTCAAAAAATAAATTGAAATTAGCGAAAATCGGTGTCGCATAAAAAAATTCGCGGATTTGACACATTACTATTTTTAAAAAAAATTTTCACTTGAAATATTCAAAATACAACTCTAGTGTTGCAACACTGCACGTCCCGTAATTGTACTGTTAATAAATAGCACACTTTTAAAAATCATCTTTGGCTTGCAATACATTTATTTTCGTCTTGGAAATTTACTTGAAATTTACCTGAAATGAAAACAATATTAATACCTGACGATGAAAAAATTTTCACTTGAAATATTCAAAATACAATTCTAGTGTTGCAACACTGCACGTCCCGTAATTGTACTGTTAATAAATAGCACTTTTAAAAATCATCTTTTGGTTTGCAATACATTTATTTTCGTCTTGGAAATTTACCTGAAATGAAAACAATATTAATACCTGACGATGAAGGAGAGAATTTCTTCGAAAGTACTTATAACAGGACATTTAATTCATCTCATAATTTTGAATATAAGGATCGCGTCATTCGGAGAGTTACTATTTTATTGATTTGTTAGCGAAAGTGATTTCGCCATTAATTACATTAAATTTGCTGACTAATTCTTTGGATGATTACTTCTTAATAATATATATATATATATATATATATATATATATATATATTGTCTGATAAATATTACAGTCAAATGAAGAAAGAAATGTACTGTAAGAGTGAAAATCACTTTTATTTCTCAAGTACTTTCAATAAAATTGATTTTCACAGTGCATTTCTGGTTTCATTTGTTTGTAATACAAGAAAAAGTATTCGTGAATATGAAAGGAATATTCTAAAAATAAGCAGATAATTCATTGAAAAAGGCCGACAAGAAAGGTTTAATTAATCTTTTATTGAGTTTTTTCAGCATTCTAATATTTTCCCGTTTTTCAGAGAATGTAGGAATTGTTCATAGTTATAATTGTTCCGGGCGCTTTCGGATAGTTCTATAGCCATTATCAAGGATCTTGTTTTGGGATGGTGAATTTCTGTGTGTGGCTTCTACATAGTAGTTTTTTTAAAACAATCACCATTAATGGTGACTTGCCTATGACTATGTATCACACAATCGTACACAACTCATCACTAGGGAGGCTTTGCTTATTAAATACTGTTCTCCCGCTATCAATCTTACGCTATTTAGCAGTGGAGACGGCGTGTTAAAAGTATTCTCAAAATAGAAGTGGCATCACTTCAGGTCAACCGGCTGCGCGTAGCATGTGCCCGTCAAAAAAGCAAGCAACCTTCGCCGCACATTCTCAACGCAGCAAAACTACTATCTAGAAACTGCACACAGAAATTCACCATCCAACCAACACCCTTGATAATGAGTAATGAAGTAACCGAAAGCACTCAGGATAATTATAACTTTGGAAAATTCCTATATTCTTTAAGCCCTGAAAAACGAAAAATTGTTAGAACGCTGGAAAAACTCAATAAAAGATTAATTAATTAAATCTTCCTTGTCGGCCCGTTTTCAATGAAAGATGCATGAAAGAAAGACAGCTTCCCAAATGCACATCAATATATATATATATATATATATATATATATATAATGTTGCATTGATAACAAATGGCCAAACCTTTACAAAGTAATTAAAGACCAAGCTTCTGGGATTGTCAACAGTGATCATCTTGGATCTTGGTGGATGCGAAAAAGATTGTGAAGCTTTCAAAATTAATTAAATAATCACGTGTTTAGCCAGACAACGTAAAGTTATACATAAATATACGTGCGCTTATACAGGCATTTAGATAATTTATACGACGACTAGGGGTCTGCGTGACCCACATCCTAAAATAAAATATTATCTGTCTTGACCCACATCCTAAAATCGGACGAAATATTATAATTTTAATAATACTGTCTTTATCAAAAACCAATTATACCGAACTTTCCTTTGGCTTCATCAGTTTGACTAAATGTAAAACAAAACTATATATATATATATATATATATATATATATATATATATATATATATATATATATATATATATATATTATATATATATATATATATATATATATATATATATATATATATATATATATATATATATATATATACGCTCTATCTCTGATATTGAGCACTTTATCCCATAAATATACCACACCTTAAAAATATATTTCTTCATATATGCATGTGTGTGTGTGTTTGTATAAACCATCTATGATATGTATATGCACATGTATGTGTGTGTATATATGCACATGTGTATATCGATGGGTATGTATATGTAAAAAGAAAAGGTTTCTAATACATTTATATGACTGGGTGTATCTGTATGGAGACACATGTATGAAATTGTGTATGTATGTATATCATTTTAAACATTATTTTTTAGCGGATACTCATATTTGACTCGATGTTCCCTTCATTTATTAAATCGTATATTTATTTTCGTCTACCGACCTGAATATTAGAGAAATTTTATTAAAGGAAATTTTTCCTTTAATAAGAAAAATTCTCTCGAATATTCTAGAAACCATAATATAGAATGTTTTTTTATTTAAAAAGGTTATGTATATATGTGCATGTACCTTTTTAGATTATATGCATGTATGTATGTATATATGTGTATGTATATGTATATAAAAAAAAAAAGAAATGGAAGAGTCCCTGATTTAAAATCCTCCAATACCAAGCAACTCTAATAGAAAATATCTATTGTAAATAAAACAAACAAGCACATAGGCATCTAGACTCTCTTCAAGTCTCAAGTGAGGAGTAATTAATTTGATTTATGATACCCACTAATGCTCAGAGATCCCAAGACATTTTTATTTATAAATAGTTGTCTTTATTTTGATCAGATTGATGAAGTGAAAAAGAGGATAATCTTTCTCCGACGAAAAGCGTCTTTGATAAAAAAAAAAAAAAATTACACTTTGTCTCAAAATCTTCGCTTTTGTTTCGAATAATACTATACATCTTTACACACACACACATACATACATACATACATATATATATGTGTGTGTGTATGTTTGTGTGTATTTGGGCAGCTTTGCATAATACGTTTAGTTATATATAGATGATAAGGTACATTTTTAGTTGTTTTTTTTTTATATATTTCTTGCATGAGACTTAACGAGTGTAGAAATCATGCGCATGTGTGCAACTGCATGTTTGAAAGTCAAGTTTTAACCAGCTACGAAATCGTCTCGAATGGTGCTATTCACAAAAGAAGACTCGTTAGCTGGAATCTTACAAGCGCAGTTTCCTGCTCATTTAAAATTTCATTGGAGTAAGTTAATCTTCGTAATTGATTCTATCTATCTATCTATCTATCTATCTATCTATCTATCTAGCTAGCTAGCTATCTCAGTCATCATATCTACCTATTTCAGTCGATTCATATCTATCTATCTATCTATCTATCTATCTATCTATCTATCTATCTCAGTAATCATATCTACCTATTTCAGTCGATTCATATCTATCTATCTATCTATCTATCTATCTATCTATCTATCTATCTCAGTAATCATATCTACCTATTTCAGTCGATTCATATCTATCTATCTATCTATCTATCTCAGTAATCATATCTACCTATTTCAGTCGATTCATATCTATCTATCTATCTATCTATCTATCTATCTATCTATCTATCTATCTATCTCAGTAATCATATCTACCTATTTCAGTCGATTCATATCTATCTATCTATCTATCTATCTATCTATCTATCTATCTATCTATCTATCTATCTATCTATCTATCTCAGTAATCATATCTACCTATTTCAGTCGATTCATTATCTATCTATCTATCTATCTCAGTAATCATATCTACCTATTTCAGTCGATTCATATCTATCTATCTATCTATCTATCTATCTATCTATCTATCTATCTATCTCAGTAATCATATCTACCTATTTCAGTTGATTCATATCTATCTATCTATCTATCTATCTATCTATCTATCTATCTCAGTAATCATATCTACCTATTTCAGTCGATTCATATCTATCTATCTATCTATCTATCTATCTATCTATCTATCTATCTCAGTAATCATATCTTTCAGTCGATTCATATCTATCTATCTATCTATCTATCTATCTCAGTAATCATATCTACCTATTTCAGTCGATTCATATCTATCTATCTATCTATCTATCTATCTCAGTAATCATATCTACCTATTTCAGTCGATTCATATCTATCTATCTATCTATCTATCTATCTATCTATCTATCTCAGTAATCATATCTACCTATTTCAGTCGATTCATATCTATCTATCTATCTATCTATCTATCTATCTATCTATCTATCTCAGTAATCATATCTACCTATTTCAGTCGATTCATATCTATCTATCTATCTATCTATCTATCTATCTATCTATCTATTCATATTTATCTATCTCAGCCTATTCATATCTATCTATCTATCTATCTATCTATCTATCTATCGTTAGGTAGATTTAAAATTTTATATATTTCTGAGGATGTATTTTATTTTCTCTGGTAATTTTGGATACACTTCTCCATAAATCCATCAATAAAAAAGTTTTTTTAGTTTGATGAAGTTCTTTTAAAGAATTTTATTCAGTGTCGGTTTCAATTTTTTTAATGTAGATTGCTTCGAGGATCTGTAGCTTTAATTTATTATTTTCTTGGTGTAGGATAATTGTGTTATCAATCAGAATTTTTCTATACTGTGAATCTGGACAGGAATGTTTGTGTAAATGTTTTGTAATGGACGAATGGTCAGACATGTGTAGAGTAAGACGTCTTGATAATGGAGTTGTCGTATATCCAATATATGTATTTATTTTTCTGTCGGAGATACATTCTTTCAAGGGAGATTTGAATTGATATATAATGTTGGTCTTACGTAATACATCAGTTGTTGAAAAATATTCGTGAATAGGAAAGGATTATGATAAAAATAAGCAATGTTTGTAATTTATTCAATCAGACATGCCTAAAGTATATATATATATATATATATATATATATATATATATATATATACCTCCAAAATAGTCTTACCTAACTTTAAAGTTTTTATTACAACTTTAATTCCAAGCTAGTAGATCAAATTTAATATTCCCATCCGCCCAAATACTTTCGCGTATTTAAAACTGAAATCAAATTAATTGTCGTCATATTTTCTTTTTATCAGTGAACACTATCAATTCGTTCATATTGACAGAATTGTCAACACAACATAATTCTATTAATTTAAAAAAAAGCAAAAATCAAATATTCTTTTCTGAAACATCATTTGAGGAAATTTATCTGCTTTAAAGTATAATTAATCTGAATTAAAACAAATATTACTTTTAGTTTAAAAGGTCGCAAGAAAGTATTTTTTTAATGCGGAGGTTGTTCTTTGATGTGTTGAGTGAATTATTGTCAGATTGATATTTGGTAAATTTAAGTAAAAGGGACATAAATGTAAAATTAACTGACGAATACAACGTGATAATCTTAAAAAACTTTTTTTTTTAATGCTTTAAGCAAACTAATATTTTATTAAACTTTAGGTGCTTTGGCTTTATAGTCTTACTTACGAAGAGGTTTGTTGAGAAAATGTTAGAAAATTACCAATAAATTTTAAATTTACGATAGGTACCGCTTTATTTTTTGATAATGTCGTTTATAGACATGTATAATTACAAAATTTGACACATTTATAAACACATAAAATGAATTCAAAATTCTTTTTACAATACTGGGGTTCGTAAATTTGTATTGTCCATTTCCATTTATGATTAGTCAGTACAATTTTAACTTAATAACAATATCACTTAGCCGCTACAAATTAATACAACATTTTAAAAGATTTAAGTTTATAAATTATTCTAATTAAAATAAAAAATGAAAACAATTCTTGCAAAAATTCATTATTCATCTACAAAAATTCTTAAGGCAATAGTGTCCATAATATATTTTATTCAAAAAAGCAATTAAAAGCTTTTCTAATTAATGTCTTAATTTTATTGCATTTTTTATTTTACAATTCAGAGATGATTTTCTTTAACTGCGGGTCCTGATTTAAAAAAAAAGAAAGATGATTTAAATACTCCAAGGGCTTGTCCTTATAATTAAGTAATCGATGCAAAAAAAGAATTTCTCGAAATTTCATAAAATTAACTGAGTGAGTGGTAACAGGATGTAAATAATATTTCTACAAACGTTTTCTAAAAAAGAAACATTTAAAAAATTAATTCATTTTTGTAAATGTCTTGAATGTTTCATTAAAGAGGAGAAGTTTCAAATGAAAGTCTTTTTCACGGAATAAAAAAACGTTCAAATGTCCAGTACAAATTTAACGTTTCACGTTCATGTACCAAAAGTAAGATTTTAACCAAAATTTTGAAGGCTCTAAGAAGGATTTTAAAAAAATTACATAATGAAATCCTTTCATCTCTCCTCCTAGTAACATAAGAGGATATAAATAATATTTCACCAAAGGTAGAAATATTTAAGATAAGATTTTTACGATAAAAATTGGGTTTTATTATATTTGGGGCTCTTCTTGTATCACGTATCCTGTTTTTTTTTAACGCAGATTTGACTTTTGAGTTATATATATAGATATATATATATATATATATATATATATATATATGCTAAAATATGGTCTTAAGCTGTGCTATATTTATGAATTAAAGTACTCGATATCAGGCATAGAACGGTGACAATCTGTTTCATGCTTGAACGCAATCATCAGGCCCGAAACAAGAGAGAGAGGGAGAGAGAGAGAGAGAGAGAGAGAGAGAGAGAGAGAGAGAGATATTCTCCCAGATATTCTACTAAAAAATATTTTTTGATTTTAATAGACAATTTTAAAACCAAAAATAACAAAAAAAGCTAAAAACAAACCCCCAAAAAAACAAAACAAAAAAACAAATTAAAAAAACCCAACAAAAAACAAAACAAAAACCAAAAAAAAATTAAATAAACGGGAGATTTATTTTTCTGTTTTTGCAAATTATTGACTAATTATTTTCGACGAGTGAAACAGCTCCATTTAACAGAATTGTCATAGTGTGAGGCCAAGAAGAGAAATTTCGTCTTCTGTTTGGTTTACAGTTCCAAATAAACGGGGAGAGTCTTTGACCCCCCCACTCGCTTCCCCTATTTTATCGTCGTGCATGAGTTTCTACAATGAACAGAACAAGAATTAAAAGAATTCTCTACCTATCTATCTCATTCTGTTCATATCTATCTATCTATCTATCTATCTATCTATCTATCTATCTATCTATCTATCTCATTCTGTTTAAGCTGCTGTCCGCAGGTTACATTCGGCCTGTTTAACTTTCTGAAATAGCACGCCTAAGTCCTTGAGGAAAATAACATTCGTTTTTTTTTCGTTTCATTCTCACTTGTTCACTCACACATTCTCTCATACATCACCACATACATAAACAATGATTAAGTACAATGTTTCTTGAATTGTTAAACTTTCGTGGACGGTAACGTTCTCATCATTTTAAACCATTGGCGATTTTCACTAAGTGAGATCAAACGTGTAAATATCTTTTGCTTTAGTAACAGGAAACATTCATAAGTATTTAATCTTTGGAGAAGAAATATATATTTTATTTTATTTTTATTTTTATTTTTTGCATTTTCAAGTGAATATATTAGAAATTAATTACACGAAGCGACATATGCTAATCACTGTGTAATCTGTTAATATTATAACAAGCCTTCAATTTCTTAAGTATAGAAAAATATCTTCAAATAAAAATTAAAATTCCCGCGTTTCTAAGCAAACAATTGCACGTATGTTCTTCTGTAGCGAAAATGACTGAGGCAACTTCAACAAAAATGACCTTGAATCTTTTCAGTAGTGCAGCCCACTTTATGATGAGGTATGCCTCTGGTCGGAAAAGGCTGCTCATGCCTGATATATATATATATATATATATATATATATATATATATATATAAAAAGAAGAGGGGTGCCGCAAACGTTTTTGGTTGTAATGTGGATTTATTGAGAAAAATATTATACTTTGTTTTATTAATTTCACGACACGTGTTTCTGGTCTGGTCTCGCAAACCGTCTTCAGGTGAAAGTGGAGATTTTTTACATATTATTAAAATAATTAATTTTTCTTCATGTTCAATGTGGAATATTCTCGATATGAGACATTCTGTTTGTGTTTGGCAATCCGAATTTTCTTTCTAGAATTGTCAATGAAGAGTTCTGCGTGAAGGGTCATAAAACAATTAAGGTTTGTCCAGCGAGTAGTTATCGGCATTTAATCTTTTAATGTTTAAAATTTTTTCTCAATAAATCCACATTACAACCAAAAACGTTTGCGGCACCCCTCTTCTTTTTAATATACATACTTTTCTCTCGTTGGAACCACTACAACATATTTCCTTTATATATATATATATATATAATTACTGATACCTCCTGAGGAGTGTATGGAGTGATTCACTGAGTGTCGTCTACGAAGCTCTGGAATCGGAATGTTGAAGGTAACATCAATCAACTAAGTGATAAATTAAGTGATAAATCTTTTACTTGTATTAATTCTCTCTCTCTCTCTCTCTATCTATATATATATATATATATATATATATATATGTGTGTGTGTGTGTGTGTGTGTGTGTGTGTGTGTAATATATAGAAAATAGGAAAGAACTCGTTAGGTAAATAATCCAAAGTTCTTTAGTATTTTTGTTATTATTTTTAAAAAATAGTGCTCGATACAAAAGTAGAGCATAAATATAATTATTTATTTAAAAATATGATTCCAACGCTACATAAGAGTTCTCATGTTTCAAAACAAGTGCCGAAAACTTCAATATAATTATTTGAATTAAATTGAATTAAAGTACCAAGCTCTGTTCCATCTTCAAGCGAAAATTTTTTTTTGGAATAACTTATAAAAAACTAATAACTTTTTTTTGTAGGGCATTTAAACTATTTATTTAGACTATGGAATTTAAAAATTATTTTATTGTTTGTTTGTTTATATGCTAATTGTTCAATGCGAAAATTTGATGATGTCGGCAAAAAACGTTAACTCATGCCCATTGTTTAATAGATTTTTATTATTCAGAAACTTAATAATGTGTAGTTTTTCATGTAGGCATAAAGGGCATAGGTCATCCCAAGTTTTACAAGTTTTAGTTTTGTTTATAATTTTCCATTTTACTTCAAGTGCCAAAAATATTTAGATAGAGATGTCTGATTTCTTTTATTTATATTTATTATGCTGCCTCCATCTGGTTTTAAATTCATTCTTCGTAGACCCAATGTATATCATATTAGTATTAGGACTCTCAATGGATGAGATAGTACATTGGTATACCACAGATTTTACGCGGCATTTATTTTCCAATGGGCAGTCTTCTGAGTTTCTACAATCACATAATTTTTCACTATTTTTGTCTAATTTAAGTGTAGGGTTTTTATTAATACTATTCTGGCATGGGGGTTTATTCAGAATTTTATTATTGTTTTTTTATTATACTTTCTAGATTTTCAATGCAGTTGTAACTTAATTTTAGGGTGTTTTTATTAAACATTTTACTAAGTCAACTATTGGTAGGAAAGTGTTTTTCAATTAAAGCTAGGAATTTCTGTCCAAGCTTAATACTAACCATTTGGTTGAACGGAGGGGTATACCAAATGATTTTTCTTTTCCTGTTTTTTTTTCTGGTTAGTACAATTGTTTCTATAATTGATGTTAGCATTTTTGTATCCACTATTTTTTAGGGCTGGTTTTTGGAGGGTGGTTTAACTTCGGGTGTATATATAAGGGGTTAGTATTAGGTTTTATATAAGGTTGGTATGTGTTGTTTGTTAAATCCTCCATCCATAATTAAACATATACCCTCATCAATAGAGAACAGAATCAGCATTAACTCCGCGAATAAAGAAATATTCCAACAACACAGTAATGGAAGGCCTGTCTACGGAACTCTAGTATCGAGATGCTGAAGATAACACCAGTCATCTAAGTGAAAGTGTTTATATTTTTATTATATATATATATATATATATATATATATATATATATATATATATATGCAATTGGCCCTGGCCCTGATCTGGGATCTCGTCTGCAGTCGCTCCCTCACAGACGTGCGGTCGCCTCTCTCTGTCTTTTTTACTAATACTTTCATGGTAATTGCTCCGATGAGCTGCTTTCGCTGGTTCCCGGGCTTCATGAATTCAAGCGTCCTACGAGGCTGGCAACTCACTCCCACCTTTTCACTGTTGAAACTGTTAAATGTAGCCGTCTCTTCGACTCCAATAGCTTCGTATCTCGCACCTCTCGCCTGTGGAACTCCCTTCTCTTTTCCTGTTTCCCTGATAGCTATAATCTCCAACTATTCAAATGTAATGTCAACAGACATCTCCAGATGCCTTTATCTATCCACTATCCTTCTCTTCATCCTTTCCTCTATCACTCCTATCTGCTCTCGTTCCAAATCCTCTGTAACCCCTTGCGTTTTAGTGACTTCCAGCCTTGCTTGGGTGAAATGCTTAAATATATATATATATATATATATATATATATATATATATATATATATATGGGATAACGGTGAAATTAGATTTAATTTAATTTTCATAAATCTAATTTTGCCGTTAGACATTTGAACTAGTTTATCTACAACACTTGTATATCGTTATAATGGGGCCTCACATCAGTGAGGGGGGTGCGGTGTGCAACTGAAACCGTTGAGAGGAAGGCCCCGAAAAGGTGCATATTCTCTCCTGATGACCCCAGTTTAAATATAAATTCGAGAGGAACACATCAAAAGAAATTCAGTGAAGTCATATGCCGTAGAGAAACTCAGTGGAAGTGTCATTGACATGAGGAGCATTACACATTCAGCTCGCCTCAGGTGAGTTTCAATTACTTTCCAGTTATTTCTTTATGGGATAGCGAGACTGACCACAATTTTGATATAAAAATGCTATTCTAATTAAAGTATAAAACAATTTAAAGTATAAAACACAATTGTTTTTTCATCAAATCAATTTGAAAACACGATTAAGAGGCATTGCTGTCGTGAGAATGAAAGGGGGACATTTCATATCGAGTTATACTTATAAAACCCAGGTTGTGTGTGTGTGTGTGTGTTCATTTATATATGGGTTCGGATTTCCTACATTTTTCAACCGTTTTCAACAAAACTTCACTTTTTTTGGCAGGTAGTGTTTCTTATTGTCTTGCACACTTTTTTCTTTATTTTTACATTCAGAATGCTTTAAAAATTCCATTTACAAGACAATTGTTTATAATAAAATTCTATTCAATCGGTAGACTCATAACGATTGAAAACAATGTTTTGTTTGAGTTTGGGTTTGACCAATTCGTAAAAAAAAAAAAAAAAACATGCGTGTCCGTCAACCTTAAACAATAATCTTTGTCAATTTTATTTTCAGTCTTTATCATGGTCGATACTTGATCTATCTCTTACTGTTACATTACCGGGCAACGCCTGGCTCTACTGTTAGTATTTAATAAAAATGATTTAAACAGAAAGTAAAAGAAAAAGAATCTAAACGATACCGGCTCGATTATATGACCAAAACATATAATTTTAAAAAAAAAATAACTTTAAATATAAAATTCCCAACCTTTCTCGTTCCTGCACATGTGTAGTCGCATCAATATTAATATAAACTTAGTCTGATGAGGTTCACTTTATCATATGCACTTTGCCATCTTAAATTATACTTGTATCCTGATTCGTCAAAAAAGGCAACACCCTTTTAAAATTTTATAATCCCTTTCCCCCTCCAACTTAAACTATATATTACTATTAAGCTTAAGAAAATTCAAACTTTTTTTCGGAAGTTATTCAACATCGCTTGAGAATGGAATAAAAACTTTAATTTTAAGTTTAATTTAAAGATTAGTTTTTAGTTTCGAAATATGGTAATTTTTCTGTCTTGATGAATACATATTTTTAAATAATAATGTTATGATATTATACTTTACTGGGTATCGAACACCGATTTTAAAAATAAATGCTTAAGAACTGTGGATTATAAATCTGACTGTTCTTTTTCATTCATATATATATATATATATATATATATATATATATATATATATATATATATATATATATATATATGTGTGTGTGTGTGTGTGTGTATATATATATATATATATATATATATATATATATATATATATAAATAAATATAGTTTTAAACTTGTGCTATATTTATGAGATAAAGTGCTTAATATCAGAGGTAGAGTGTATGTAAATATAACATAAAAGTCAACACTCAGAGGCAACAGGCTGTTTCATGCTAGATGCAATCATCAGACCGCCTGACGATTGCGACAAGATTTTTATTGCTGGTAATAATTTTTTGTTCAAAAATGTATTGTTGGTAATAATTTTTTACAAAGTATTTCTGGTATTAGAACTATTTTTTACATTTACATAGTGTTTTGACCCCAGTTTGGGGTTTAACTATTTGCCCATAGTTGGAACCCTAACAGGTGCTACCACCCCGGGTCAGGGTTAACCTGGGAAGTTAAGAATTGGTTCCACACTCCTCAAAACCATCAGAGGCCTTGCTGTTGGACGTAGTTTATCGTCTTACCCAAGACGCGATGTAGTTTATCGTCATACCCAGGACGCGATTGTAGTTTATCGCCTTACCCAAGACGCGGTGTAGTTTATCGTCATACCCAAGACAGATGACAAATTGGAAGAAGTTTCTTTCAAAACTGTTCTTTATATAAAAAAAAAATTATATCGTTATCACATATTCATATATATATATATATATATATATATGTGTGTGTGTGTGTTGTTTGTGTGTGTGTGTGCATATAATTTTTCAGTTACTCAACTGTTGTAAATCTGTCATGTAAATTATTAAATTTTCCGTTTATTTTGTGATGGCGATAATGAAAAAGAATTTCATGTCAATAAAAAAAGTTAAACCCCTCGATAGACAATGAAATTGCATTAATCAAAATTCATGGTTGGAGCTGAAAGGTTGACATTCGTTTTGCTAAATGCAGGATTGTCCCGCATTTTAACCCTGGAGGACGTGCCCCACTTTGGCTAATGGGGGACATCTTTTTGTCTATCATTTTGAGAAGCGATGATTCTTTTTTAAATTACGAGTAAATTTTTGCTTTTTTTTTTTAAAAAAAACCCAAATGGCTGGAATACCTGAGAAATCTTATCAGTCTGTAGCCTTTCTCTTTATCTCTCTCTTTCCCACTTTCACAATTCCCATCTCTCAAAACTGATTTAATTCACCTTTATAAGGATATCATGGACCGAGCATGTGAGCAACGATTAGGAGAAGGCTTATGCTTGACATCATAAGGGGGCAGCTGAAGTTTCTGGGACAAACAATGAGGAAGGAGGACCTGTAGCATCTGATACTCACGGGTTGAATAGAAGGAAAGAGAGATAAGGGAAAGCAGCATGTGATATACCTGATGAGCTTAAGCAGGTGGTCTGGGGAAGGAAGCAGAGGGAAGGAGCTTGCTGAGAGCTGCAAGGGATAGAGCGAGGTGGAGAGCTATGATCGGAAAGGACATGGCACATAAAAATTAAACATCCCTAAGATAGACCGCAAACACCATGTTTCCTAATGGAGTTCGCGGACCCCAAGTTTGGGAACATTTTTACGAAGTCCGTGACCCCGCATTCCCTTATTTTTAATTTACGATGTTTTTCTCTGCTCAAATCACGATAGACATATAAAAATACATGATTGTTATTGCGATATTTTGTTAAAGTTGTTGGGCTCAAATATTTAACGATGCCATAGCGGAATTTCTATGGATATTTTATTGTCGTAGAGCTCGACACGAGCTTATTCAATGTTTAGATTTTCATCAGAAAATTCAAATAGGAAAACCGTGAGATTTTCTTGGCTCTTTCTAATAATAATAATAATAATAAAACTCAAATGTATTTATTAAAAATATGTAAAAATTTTTTAGTCCAGTAGAATTTTTGCCAACAAGGCTCAACACACATATAGATCTATAATATTCAATAATTCAATAAATTATTAACCGACCCTGCGGAACTTTTTATTAAAGAGTAATTTAAAATTTTCTAGCCTCCATTTTTAGCAGATATTCCGAGGAATATAAATATAAGAATTGATAATAATTTCAATACATTTAACGAACATTTGAATTCATATATTTTATATTTGGCAACCTATCTTACTGTTAGATGTCGGTAACAATTAGGCCACGAAATATCAACCATTATGAAGATTTCATATATATATATATATATATATATATATATGAAGAAAAATATACGGAAAAAACAAACAAAAATTCGAATATGCAATTATGCTGTTTTAATGTTAATATAATGTCAACGTCGAACGTTTCGGTCTAGTAGACCATCTTCAGGACACATTCATAAAACATAATTAACATTAGACTATATTCAATTCAACATGAAAAGACGATGGACATAAGAGTAAGACTAATCAAAACAGACAACTGAACATGGACACCGTTGCTTACAACCAGAAAATGTTGGACTTGCTAAATGATAGAGACACTTAACATTTGTGTCAGTCAGCTGTTGGCTCTCACGCTGGCCAATAGAATCTTCCTGCCTATTCGTTGCAACCAGCTATAGGCTCTCACTCTGGACAGTAGAAAATGGCCGCAAACTACATGAAAACTGCCTTCCGTAGAAGCATGAAATATCGATTATTTCCACTATCAATGGGAGTTGGGAAATGCAAAGTCGGTCTTGGCTTCCCGCTAACTTGGAGCATGTGCATGTAAATTTTGGTGCAAATCCGTCGAAAATTGCGGCGGCGCCTTCACACACACACACACACACACACACACACACACACACACACACACACACACACACACACACACACATCCTGCCTTTTATAGAAAGAGATATTCATGGACAAGCTTTTCGGTGTCATTATTGAAGGAAAAGAGGAAATCACCGTGTTGATACATATTATTTTATTCCGAGTACTTTCGACAATGTCATCATCAGGGTGTTGTTTATTTCAAAACGAATATTGTAGTGTTCATCATTTTCGAATTTCAAAGACAATGTTGTTTTGTTGGGATATAGATTTATCGATGTTATTCTCTCTCTCTCTCTCTATATATATATATATATATATATATATATATATAAAGAAGTGAACATAGTCTGTTTCATGCTAGATGCAATCGTCAGGCCTGACGATTGCATCTAGAATGAAACAGGATGTCGCCTCTAAGTGTTGACTTCTATGTTCACTTTTATATTTATTTATGTATATATATGTTAAAGCCTTTTTGCGTATAATTGTATATACATTTACACATATATATACATAGCTGCGCATAGATACACACACGCGCAGACACCCACAGAAGCATATATATATATATATATATATATATATATATATATATATATATATATTATAAACACTTTTTGTGTATACTTGTACTTATCTTCATCAAATCATGTTTAATATTAGATGTGACAAAGTTTTATCTGTTTGTATTCAAAGCGTTTATATGATTAGCAGACTTGTTTGTGTGTGTAGGGGGGTCTATTTGTTTGTCACCTGAGTTGACATCTTGTTAATGTTGGCGAATCCACCAGCATATTTTGAGGCACGATTATGCACTTGATGGCTATGAAGTACACTGTTCTTTTGATATTCTAATGTGACACGGACTACAGAGCTTAGTTTGGTATCATTGCATATTGGGGTCACCACAGATCAACTCTTCGATCAAAGGTTCCTGATAGACATTAAATTCAATTCAGACCTCTAGTGTTTCCTGTGCAACCATATATTACACTCGCTCTCGGAGGAAAAAAAAGAAAGAAATTTCACCACTATATTTATAGATTATTATTCCATCTGTGATACTCATCTCCATTGCCTATATCATAATGTTTCGACTAGTGTCTTCTACCTAAATAATCTAAGCAGAATATGAATGAAGACTCTGGTTTTCATTATTAAATATGGAACGTATCTATATCTAAATAAGCCTTGAATAAACAATACACTTGAAGAAGGCCGAAGACTTCATCGTCCGAAAACTAGTAGTAAAAAAGAAATGCCATAAAAAATACGGATGTTAGCCTGGACATCTTGTGAAATTAAAACAATAGCTTATCCCAACATTTCAGGCAGTAGACTCTCATTAAGCCTGAAATTAAAATCTAAGCTCACTTGTATTCTAGTATCCTGTTATAATTATGCTTGCCCTTCCCTTCGTTAGTTCGCCCGACCATTACGCCCTGCCAGATACCTCATTAGTTATTTCGTTTTAATCACGTGGAAAGACAAGGCATCAAAAACACTACTTGGTTTCAAGGGAAAAAAAAGAAAGAAAGATAGAAGTGTTTAACATCTCCTGCTAAAAGCTTATAAATAAGGAACTATTCCGCATTGATCGTGTGAGAAGAGAAAAGAGATCAAAGACGCTAATTGGTTTCAGTAAGAAAAAGGAAAGAAAGATGGAACTGTTTAACGGCTACATTATTTACATTATTCGGACTATTGTCCTCATCTTTGTCGCCATATTTATTACAACGTTTCGGCCGTTGTACGCTCCTGCCTTCTTCAGAATGTCGAACTTAACCCTTTATTTCGCTCACTGGGGTAGACTGTTCTAGTTCCACGTGTCATGTTTAATGGATGTCAGTTATCAGTTATCTCCTGTTAATTTCACTCTGAAAGTTCTCCACTGCCTTAACCGGGTATTGAAGTCACACTCTGGGTCTTATCACTAGATCTAACCAACGCCTTTATCCACTGAGGACCTGAAGAAGGCCGGAGCGTACAACGGCTGAAACATTTTAATAAATATGGCGACAAAGATGGGAACAATAGTCCGAATAATATAAATAATGTACATAATACCTCATCTCAGAAATATAGACAGATACTGTTTCACGTCTGTTTCATCGAAATTGAAAAAGGTGTCAATTTCAAATGTCTTCATTTGTACCCCCTTACTTCTTAAAATAACGACCAGCATTCATATTTATGATTTTTATTGCAAAGTTAAAGTTATATTTAACCATGGGATAGGAGAATTTCTATGGATATTTTATTTTCGTGGAACTCGACGTGAGCTTATTCAATTATTGACTTATGAATTAACATTAATCAGAAAATGGAAATAGGAAAACTGTCAAATTTTCCACGGTCTTTCTCGTTTTATTAAAATTCTTAATAAGTTTACTTTTACAAACATTCTATTATTTACATTATCTTTTGTTATAAGTGTTCGAAAGTTGTTCTTTTTTCGTTTTTATTACCTTTGAATTAGTTTGGATTTTTCATTTCTTTTGTTTAGATAGGACTGTTTGAAACTTTGACTAAGTGAAAATGTTATGTACTGCAATTCGCATGAGATGTAACTTATGTGTTTTTTTATATGAGCCTGAGATGAACACCCACGGGAAGTGGTGAAGACACTTCACCAACGAGAAGGCAAACTCCAATATAAAACCAAGTGGTTAGATAGAGCAAAATAGCCAGTTTAAAGATAATCTATCTATGAGTAGGAAGCTCTAATATAAAACCAACCTCTTTTTCACCTCGTGGGAATGCCTAGAAATATAACTGACCGCGTGAGAAGGCAAAAGTGATCAAAGATGCAACTTGGTTTCAGTGTGAAAAAGAAAGAAAGATGGAAGTGTTTAACGTCCGTTTTAGCGAAATTGAAAAAGTTGTCAATTTCAAATATTTTTATTTGTACCACCTTACTTCTTAAAATAACAGCCAGCAGTCATATTCATAATTGTTATTTATTATTTTATGAAAGTTGTTAAGCTCAAACAGCTAACGATACGACAGAAGAATTTCTACGGATATTTTATTATCATAGAACTCGTCTTTAGCTTATTCAATAATTAATTTTAATATATAATTACTTATAGATATGTAAGATAGATTCTAGAGAGAAAAATTGTTTAGCAGAAATCTTTTAGCAGCAAAAGGACCTAGCAATGGATTCAATATTGTCTTTCCACTTCATATCAACTATTTAAAAATTATGGAGATGTTCGTTATAGCATTTTCTGGACAAACATTAAATTATTTATTTATTATGACTTTTACCCGTAAGACTTATAAATGATCAAGCCCCGGGGGTATCCCTTCAGAGAGTAACTCTCATTCGTCATTACCCGGGACCTGAGGTCTCCCCAAAAGGGGAAGTGTCGAGGGGATTTGTGCAATTTTTCCACGATATTGCCGTTAAAACCACTTTAAATTGTG